TCACTTAGATGAAGGTAGTCTAACTCCTGTTACTTGCTGTCCTCAAGACCATCAGGATCAACTAGAACAAATTACTTTTACTGGTGACGATCTAGGTACAGGCAATGCTAAACTAATAGCCAGGAATTACCAATGGGGAGTTTAGGATGGTATAGATTTCATGCCAGAAACAACTGTCAGGAGCTATTTGTGGTACACTAAACCAGGAAAATTATGCATGCTGCCTTCAGAGATGGTGCATTTAGAGAATATGCTCCCTGCTTCTGAGTCAACTAACTACATCTATAAACTCAAGGGCGGAGACTATGCACTCCTGAACCTAAGTCAAACCGAGGAAGAGTTATGTACATGGAAACCACAACACATGTCCGCAGAGCCAATAAAAGTTAAAATACGGAGCATCCTCACGATATTCGGCAGCTGCAGTGTAAACACTGTTAAAAACAGGGGTTCAATTTGGATGACGTCTAACTCACTAAGAGTAGTGACAGTTGACCCAGAGGTTGACCCCGGAGACAGCAAAGATCAACAAATCCGGAAGCTCCATCGATTACCTGGCGCCGGTCAGTCGGTCCACTGTATGTTGAGCAGTCATAATCCGGTCCACGCAAAAAGCGCGCATGCAAGTATCCGGTTGGATAGTGAAGTTTCACATAATCCCCTAGACCACCATTTCCATGGTGTTAGGTGAATCATCTAGAAGCGTTCCACTCTTAGTTCACTATTCTGTGCTACATATCGGCCTGCACAACAACAACAACAACAACAACTCATTTTGTCGTTCTTCTGATTGCCACCCTAGACTGCTTTGAACACTGTAACAATTCGACGTGTATTTGGGCCTGAAGAACCCTTGTGTAACCGATCCATCCATCAACCCGTTTATTTCAGACCGCTCTGAACTCGCAATCTCATGACCACTCTAAAGTCCACCCAAGGCGTTCGGAACAGAATTTCGTGTTAATAAATGAAATCGGTGAAAATGCTTTCCTCATATTGACCTACCGTTGCCTACTGGGAGCGGATCGAGCGTGAACGATCATAACTGCAAACGCTGAAAGCCCGCTCATTCTTCGTACGGTAGGTGTGAGCGTCAGTGAGCTAATAAAAGACATCGTTCCTGTTTCAGACCCACCGGTTAAAGAAAAACGTTCAACCAAGTATCTAGGTCTTCCACTATCTCGAATTTAGGTGCCTACAGATATGCCACCTTTGGTCTGTACAGGGAGCACTAGCAACATGCTTAGCTATTACGCTGAGCCTCCGAGATGCTCATTTTCGTAACAGTAAGCGATATTTGAAATCCATGTGTACACTTGAAATTGATCGACCAGCCAAGAGTTCAGAGAGGTTTGTGAACACTCGGTTGGTGCGTCTCATGAACATGATTCCGATACGATGCAAGGGCAGAGTCTGGCCGTATGTAATAATAAAATTAGTCGCTATAAAACATAACCAACGCGAGTAATGATCAGGAAGATCAGCCACAACCATCAAAGTTCCAGATGGGATTTTGCCTCATGTGGCGGTTAGCCGGAACAGTTTGGCTGAAACCGCAGGTAGTAGCAAATTTGTGTTAGTAAATAAGCCGCTGGAGTCTCAGTTTAATAGAGACAGAATACGGGTGATTTGGTTTTTTCAATCCTAATCCAGTTACTCAGTTCTCGGACTGTCAAACAAACTCATTTACCGTACGAGGACTTTTATTTCTCATTGTACAGATATTCTGCCTTTATGTATTTGTGGAGGTAGAGCCGCTAACAATGATCTAAATGCAGAGGTGTGGAGAAGGCAGGTGCTGGGATTGGTTGCTTACTGTCCATTTCTGGAATACAAGCTATACTTTAGCATTGTAACCAGGTTACCTGCTTATCCAATTAATGTACAGTGTTTTATTAAACATGTCCAAGCTAGGAGCGGCTTCACACCGGTGCTGACGTAGCCCGGTACGCTGAATTGCTAAATGTCCAATGGCACAAATTGCTTTGCCGGCAGGGGTAAGATGGGGCACAGAGGTGCGACATGTGCGTCTACGATCGCAGGTCACACCGAGCCACTCGGCTGTGAGAGGTGAAGATTAGCAAACACCACAGCCGCAATCAACCTATCATGCGTGGATCGCAGGGCAAAACAAAGGGAACGCATGCCGTTCCGCTGGGAGAACCGGACATGAGCCAGACACCACAGCCGCGAAGGATGTGTCATGCCTCGACCGCAGGGCAAGACCGACGAAACGCAGACCGTTCGGCTGGCAGAACTTGACGATAGCCAGACCCCACAGGCGCATTGAACGCGCAATGGTCTGATCGATCGGTAGTCGGATTTCACACAGGTGAAAAAGCCAGCAAAGTGTTCCCTGCGAAGTGGTTAGTAGGTCGCTGTGCCATCAATGGGGCAGGAGCTCACACCCGTGTCGTCGATGTAGCAGCAACAACAGTCACGTAGTAGGCCGGTTCATTAGCGCGTGGTCATTATGCGGCTGTATGGTGAATGTGGGTCTAATGCGGCGGAAACGGCAAGGCGCTATCATAGTATGCACTGGGTTACGCGACCCATTAATGAGCGATTTGTGTGTCGAGTGGTGAAGAAATTTGCAGGTACTGGCGGCGTTTGCAACGTAAAACAAAGCGGACGGCCTCCCACCGTCACGGATGAAGTATCAACTTGCGCGGTTGCACAAGAGTTATGCAGTAACAGCCATCTCAGCATTCCGCAACTCGAGCAACATTGCGAAACCACACGGTATGCTGTGCATCGGATATTGAAAAGGAAAATTCCGGCGGTACAGTGCAATATAGGTGCAATTGTTGAACGCATACGATTCATAGAAGCGCCCGGAATTCGCCCGTTCGTTTTTAAACAGTCTGAACGTGCATTCCATTTGGTTTACTGATGAGGCAGTGTTCCTACTGCATAGCCAAGATACGCGACATATATGAGCACCAACCAACTCACGGTAATGTAGCTAATCACGTGTGCAACATAGCGCGACGCTCATGGCCTGGGCTGTTAACTGGTCGAACAACCACCGAGCCCTTCTTTTCCAGGAGTGTATCCGGTACGGTTGTTTTACAGTAATACTATCAGACATTTCTTAGCATTCTCGTACATGGAAATACTGCAAAGCAGCGTCAGTATGCAGCTACAGTCGGAAGGGTTAGTGAATAGCGTTTGGAGGTAGCAGGACGGCACACCTGAACATTTGGCGCAAAAGGTTCGTGCCTAGCTGAAGGAGACATTTGGTGGATATTTGATCAGTTGCGGAGGACCGATAGAATGGCGTGCGCGGTCACCGGATCTGAATCCCATGGAAATGTTCATATGAGGATACTTGAAACGCAAAGTTTATAGAAGGGAACCAAAAAAAACAGATGAACTGAAAGAGAATAATGTGAACGAATGAAGACATATTTCGTTGGTGACATTGCAGAGAGTGCTCGCTAACACCATTCGACGAATGCTCCTCTGTTGCAAAAACGACAGACGGCACTTAGGAAAGCTAATTCTTTGATTTTTACAGACATTTCACACATTTCATGTAAATATAAGGAAAGAAATGAATAAATGTATATTCTCCATTGTACACAGGAAAAACCATCAAAGGCCTGATCAATTTGTACAACTAGTAACTGGCTGACTGTGAGGTCAATAGTTGCATTCATGACTAAATTGGTGTGCCGTCTAATGGTACCACCAGACGGTCGGGTCAGACCGAAATCTAAGAGCATTGTCAAGTCGTCAAGAATTCGTTTTTATGCACTCATGATGGGTGAATTTCAACTGTAACACATACGCTATCAAAACGGTAAAAGGGAACAACATGTAAACTTACAAGGTGCTCCTGGCAGTATGATTCCGTTTAGTAGCGAAAGCAGCCTAAAAAAGCATACTGATTTGTTGGAAGCCAGCCGTAAGGCGATAACAGCTTCCGTAGTGATAGCAATACGGCGCCCATCGACCGGTCATCACATACGGCCAGGTTGTTTTTCTCAACTGCTAGCACAGCGACCTAGTAACTACCTCGCAGGGAACACTGCTGGTTTTTTCACCTGTGTGAAGGCCGACTACCGATCGATCGAAGCATGACACGTTCAGTGAGGCTATGTGATGTCTGGCTCACGTCCAGTTCTCCCAGCGGAACGGCATGCGTTCCCTTTGTCTCGCCCTGCGATCCACGCATGATAGGTCGATTGCGGCTGTGGTGTTTGCTAACCAATTCTCACGGCCGAGTGGCTCGGTGTGAACTGCGATCGTAGGCACACTGTCGCGCCTCTGTGCCCTATCTTACCCCTGCCCGCAAAGCAATTTGTGCCATTGGACATTTAGCAATTCAGATTACCGGGCTACGTCAGCACCGGTGTAAAGCCGCTCCTAGCTTGGACATGATTAATAAAGCACCGTTTATTCTTGCGTTGCATATAATTTAGTCGGGAATACTGCGAAAGCATATCCTCATGGTCAGCGTAGTAGCCCTGCCTGCTTTCTGGCTTATCGGAATGAATACACTTTATTCCACATTGTTAGACAATTTTTCGATAAATTCATCATATGCCATTTTATGCAGACAGCTGCGCTCAAGCTCTATGCCCTTTAGTTATGAGGTTATGCGAAACAATGCATCCTTCTTGACCGGATTTGCGATTGCATTTGCGGTAGTCATAACGGTATTAGGAGCTGTAAGTAATGAACACAAATATGAAAACAATCAAATTTTGTTCTAATTATTAAAGCTGTTTCATCAGAGCACACATGGAAATTCTTTAGCTCCTCCCCATATGCTGCCTTATAGAGCGTCCAGTTGCAAGCACAAACGAGCCAATATGGCTGAGCAGTTGAGCGATACCACAAACGTTGTTTACTAGTATTCAGCCGAGTGCCATTCTATGGTCGTGACCAGTGGTGTCTTTATCGACCTCACGGTAACTAGCAAAATAGCGATAAGCCATAGTTGGTAAACTTGAAATCAGCAAAGGCAACCAGATCAGCAAAACTGAACTCACCGGACCGGGTAGATTTAAGATTGCCAAGTTGTACCCAATCAGGAAAGGGGATCCGAAAGTGGCCATTAACACTGCGAGCGAAAGGGTCCATGTCAATCCGTGTGCCTTCAACGATAAGTTTGGAAACGACGGTCAAATCGAGGTAGGAACGACGTAATGAATAGCTTAACTCGATAGTGATAGATGGGGAAAGCGTCCCAATGTAAAGAAAGGCCCCAAAACAGATGTGCGGCTTCCATGGTGTAGCACCACGGTGTACTCAACATACCTTTTCCGAAGCCATCGATTCCATAACAGAATCAAAATCATTAAGGGTCGTAATCCTCCGTAAGTACAGTTAACTTCACAAAGGAATCAACTTGCATACAAGACTATGCGTACGCACCGTTCGTTGTGACCAATCCCAAGTCAGGTAATAGCACGAGTGTTCAGACCCATCCACGGCATCGTGATGCAGCGTCTTAGAACCGTTTAGCACTACCCTCTTTGGCATTGCGCCCACAACACATCACGTGATTCACGCGGCCTCAAAACGACGTGAACTTTGTTTATTAAAACGCGGCGCGGCCACGCACGTGACATCCACGGGCGGTTAAGTAAGCACTTTACCTCAGTGCTCACTGTGGTCGAGCGCACATTTGCACCGGACACTGAGACAGTAACGATTGGCTTACTGAAGCCAGCCTCATGGTATGCTTTCTGCTTAGCGTCTATGTGCAATCATTTGTGGGTGGCATTTGCAGGTGCCGTGGATAGTTTGTAAGCACAGCTGTCTATGTGAAATAATCAGTGCGTGGTTTCCTTCCGCGCTATCATTGAACAATGCGGGTTGCACATCAAACGATAGATAACGGTGAGTGTGGCCGAATTAGCGCATATTACCGAATAGAAGCATGTCCTTGGATAGGCCGATATCGACTTTGTCACATTGGACCAAAGTCGAAGTCCCTATGTTAACCGACCCCAGAAAAACATCAAAACGAAATTCACCACGACTTCGTCCTCACTACGTGCTATCACGAGTGTGTTTAAGCGAACTCTGCTCTACTACTAGTCAGTTTTGGTGACAGTAATATATAAGCGCCTTTGATTCGCTACCCAAAATGGCGCTAACGCGACGCAACATCATCCATAGTGCCGTCCGTTACTAGCGGGTACCGCTAAGGGGACAGGGGGGGTGTGCAGTGAATTCTCGGGTGGATTTTGTATGTAACTTTTCAAATTACATGTAATCTACAAATGAACAATCGTAGAAGAAGTATTGGCTGATTCAGTAATATAGGGTACCTGCGGTTGCGACTGAGACTGAGACTGTATTTAAGAGCAAGTAGAAAGGTTTTTGTACAATATCGAACTACGAAAAATTAAAAACATTTAGTGAATCATCAGTGGTTGTGTCTGGTCAGTTAATGGTTTATCCTTGTTCGGTTAGGAATTTGTACTAGTCATTATTACCGAGCATACGATGTCGTCTTTTGGCATTGTATATGCATCGTTTCACAAAACCGCAGGTTTCCGAAATAATCATATGTGTTTTAACACACTTCACAGAATCCGCCTCTATTACTTTCTGGTAGTGTATGCCATAAGTTTACGATTCTTCGTTCGATACAAAGCTGATGTGATACCTTGTTCATGGAGGGGACCCTGAGTTTGCATCGGTGTCCTCGGGTGTTAAAAGGGTTCCCGCAGATGTAATATTGACCGCAGTATGGGGAAATGATTCAAGTGTAATACTCGATGGGTCATAATGAGGTTAATTGTAACTCGGCGGTAGGATAGTGTACTGAGTCCGAGCATTTTCCAACGTTTTTCATACCGAAGATTTCGTAGACTCGGTATCATGCAGGGAATCATCGGCCTTAACAATGCGACCATCGGAATGTGCACTGAAATGCGCGTTAGACCGCAGCGACGTTTGGAGAAGAGTACCGGATCGATTGTGACACGGTTAGCGACAGATTGCATTGGCTGGTTTATATCAAATTGCTAATCTAGTTCAGCCGTTGATAGAATGAATGAATACGTTTTAAGGAATTCTTATGAGTTCGCGCGAAATGAAAGAAGAAGCGATGGCGATGTTGGCGTTAGCGCGCTCTTTAGCGCTTCAACACATGGAAATTTCCATCCATTCAGCTGACTCTCACTTCCGCCTTTTGTTATTGTTACTCATGTGTTGTGGCACAGCCAAATGTGTATTGAGCAAGTGTTATATTTGGCGGTTGAACTGTTCCCTGAGCTTGGCAATTGTGTTGCAAACGTTTCGTCACCAATCGAGGTGACATCATCAGTGCTTGGTTGAGTGGCGTGTAGTAGCGTAGCAACAAAATTGCCAAGCTCAGCGAACAGTTCAGCCGCCATCTGAACAACCTGAGCTACTAGTCTTCAATTATATAGCCAGTGCCTTATTTATTTATTTATTTATTAGCGCGCTCTTCACCAGTGTGCCAAAAAGTGACGCGCTGGGAACGCTGAAACGCTGTTTGACTACAGTAACCTGGGGGTGTGCTTGAAGCTTAAGGTGGCCGAAACAACCTAGAGGAAAACATTGTGCCATATCGTGTCTTAGCTCACATTTCAATCGGATCTAAACACTCAGCAACAGCGTGTTACCATAGGATCGATAATGCCCACCGTTTTGTACATGGCACTGACAAACTCCAGTAAATGGTCACAAAGCTGTTGGTAACAAGTGTAGGACACATTAGGAAACCTAAAAATGGATGAGAAAAACTAGTTTGTGAAGCACCTGAAACCACTCACCATGGAGTAGGAATCATGCAGTGGCACACTGCCCTTCCTTGACCACAGTTCGTTGGAATGGTTAGCTTACGAACCGATATTTCGTCAACCGCCGGACACAGATGTGGCACTGTATTACAGTTAAGGTCAACCAAATCATGTGTATGTTGGGATCACCTTACTTGTTTCCCAGAGCCAAGGCCTTGTGAACAGAGGAAGAGAATGAGAAGACCGCTTGGATGCATACAACGATCTGATTGCCGAACAGTGAACATCTGAAACCGTTAGCGGGAAACCCGTTTCAGGTTATTATAAAACCACGTTTGAGGCACACCACGGAAAGGACTGGAACGGTAAGAATTTCTCAGGTAGATGTAATTTCTTCGGCCTCTCAGAGGGTACTATTCCAGGATGATCTTTCCGAATCCGTTCGACATTGGTGCATCTGAACTACGCAGTTCCCGTAGGTAAGCTGACAACTGCGTTCATTAAAGTAGCCGCAACAACTGAACATGTGAATATAGACCATACCGAGATCAAGCTGCGACAACACTGGCAGAACATATGAGTCGCATTTCGCGGCGAACGAGGGGTGATTCTTGATATAAGGCTCTACTATGAGACTCTGCAGTAGCGATACACACGTTAGGCACAGAGCATGAGACTTACCCGCATATTCTCGATTTAATTAGCGGAGGTTTGCGGCCAACACTCTAAATTTTGCTTGATGAGCCCGTGTACATCGGCAAAACAAAGAGCTATGAAAACTGACTGGACGGGTTGCAGCTACCGTGTGGCGGGTTGACTAAACGGGTCGGCAGGTCATGTATGCAAGCCATGAATTCCACAGGCACAAACCGAAGGTACGTTGATTATGTAAAGCTACCTGCGCGTTGGGTCCCTGTGGGGTCAACGACGGTGGAGTGAACCGTAACAGTAGGGGCAGACACCTTATCCATCGCTCTAGCTAACCAGGGGCCAATTGGCGACAAGTGCTAGTGGCTACATATACATCTGAATGGCCACTAGTGACAAGCCATGAGCGTCTGTCCTTACGTGTCACAGTGGCCACAAGTCAGCAGGTGAGAGTGATCCACTTGGGGGAATGGATGTGTGGCTGGATTTGGCTGCACAGCTCAAGTCACGTGTGAACTGATGCACACCATCGGTTTGCATTTGTGGGATACGAGGGTTGCATGCTTCGTTACCAGAACATGATCAAAGTGAGTCTATTACGTTCCAAGGTTGATTTCAGTGTTGGGAATCGAAGGCGGTTGATCCGTGTGCATGGCGCCATCTGATCACGAAGGCAGTAGCCGAGAAGCAAGAGAAAGCCCTCGTGCATGCGGAGTAGAAGCTACAGGTGCGGAAGCGGCATGCACCGATGGGTTGTACTCCATCGACATCGAGCGCACGGTGCTGTAGCACATTTGGTCGCGAGTGCCTGAGTCAGGTAGGCCTAGTGAGCCAGGAGCGAGGCCAATTAGGACCAGAAACAAAACGACGATGGGTACGGTTGAGAACGTAGGTCGAACCGGCGAAGCGTTGATAGGTACGCTGCATTTGATTTATTAACCGCGTGCTTGTGTGCTGAGTTTCTTTATTTCAGGTGATGTGTTTCCAATATTTTCTTAGTGCTTGGTTTCTCACCTCATTTTAATGTCTACGAAGAAAGGTCCTGTTGAGAACGTAAATAGAACCGGCGCAGCGTTGGTAGGCACACTGCATTCGATTTACTAACAGTGTGCTTGCACACGGAGTTCCTGTATTTCAGGCGACTGATTTGATATATTTTGTTAATGGTTAATTTGTTTAGCGATTTAGATATCTGTCTGAATGAGCTTCATATTAGTTACACACATCGCTTAAGCGGATTGTGGTTAGATTAGTTAACTTTTTCGCGTCTGTAGCATTTTTGTTAAAAAGATCTTTTTCTGACATCTTGAACTCATCGCGGATTTGTTGTTAACCAATTTATTGCATATGCCCATTTAGCGAAAAGTTAAGTCGGTATATCCGTATCCGTTATTCGATAACTATTTTTCGATATCGTCATTTCAACTGGTTGGCTGTTGTTTGATATCCCCGATGTCGCTGCCCTTGATGTGCATGTTGACAAGGTGCCTACCTGTCTATTTCCCACTATCTCGTCCATACTAGCTCCATGAGACGGTTGGTTGTTGCTGGGGGGACGAGATGCACGGCCCCTGTGGCCGTGCACTCAGCGTGGAGCTGACTATGGTCCAGCCACCGAATGGAGTGCGCTTAATTCCCAAATACAGCATGCTTCTGTTCTGCTAGCTGAAGGAGTGTGGGCCGGCTCCGTTTATAAAACGTGACTCTAGTCCACATGCCTCCCGATCTTATTCCTTTGGGTTTGCACTGGATATGGGGTGTGTGGTTGGAGCTGTGGATGGTGCAGCGCAAGCCACCCATGGTTCCTCTGTAAGCGTATGCGCTCTGTGGCTGTCCTATGGAGGTCACAGTGACAGGCAAATCCTGAACCGGATGCAGCCAACCATGCATGACCGATCTCAAGAAACTCACTCATGTCAGCGTTGATCTGACCCTATACG